CAAAGAAGAGCTTTGTTTATCCACCACAAAGCCCAGACTTAAAATTACAAGAAAGCTTGTCTCAAAGAGAGAAGAGAAAATACGAAGAAACGAGGGGTGGCTCAACCCTTTTGCACAGTACTATATTATAATAATAATAATGGATTGCATTTATATAGCGCTTTTCGAGACCCTCAAAGCTCTTTACAATTCCACTATTTACTCTCACATTCACACACTGGTGGAGGCAAGCTACAGTTGTAGCCACAGCTGCCTTGGGGCAGACTCTTCCACTAAAGGGCTGTGTTCAGATGTGATGTGGGTTATGAGATGACACTAACTGCTTGTCCTCCCGGTCCATGCAGGTGTGGGACATCAGGACGAAGGCAAATGTGCACACACTGACCGGTCACACAAACACTGTGGCCACGGTGAGATGTCAAGCAGCAGAACCACAAATTATCACAGGTACAATTATGTTTTTTCAAATCGCTCACAACAGCAGTATAAACCCCTCAGTAAGACAGGCTTTAAAGTGGTTTCTCTTCACTCTTGCCCCTAATGTGTGCTTGGTTTGTGCAGGGAGCCACGATTCAACCATCAGGCTGTGGGATCTGATTGCTGGAAAAACCAGAGCAACTCTTACAAACCACAAGAAGTCTGTGCGAACTCTGGTCCTGCACCCCAGACAGTAAGTGGTGTTTTATATGGTGGCGTTGGTTGGAGTGGGGGAAACGCAGCATGCAGACTCCTCAAACAATGCATATTCAAAATTGGTTTGTAAAACTTTGCAGTTGTTATAAATATAATGTTTTTACAGAAGCTCCTTCGACATGAGGCAGGTAAATGCAGGTGTTACTAATTGCATCAGTTAGTTTTAAGCCTAATTAATGTGATTAGTAACACCTTTGTTTACCTGTTTGATGCCAAAGTGAATCCTGTAATTTAAAAGAAATAAAGTTTTGATTGATAATGAAGATAAATTAATACTTGAGTCATGATTTAGGATTACAGGAGCACATTTGTTCATAACTTTAATTGCAAGAACTCATTAAGAGTTGTTGTTCTTCAGATATCGATGTCATATTTGTTGTTTTGCAGATATACTTTTGCCTCTGGATCTGCCGATAACATCAAGCAGTGGATGTTCCCAGATGGAAACTTCATCCAGAACCTGTCGGGCCACAACGCCATCATCAACACTCTGGCTGTTAACTCTGATGGCGTGTTGGTGTCTGGAGGTAATAAAGAGCTGCGGTGCTGTCTTTAACTGTCTGCTTTTTTTGTTTGCTTGTTTTAAATCATTTTTTCGAGGCTAATGTTGACCTCATTACACACAGCCGACAATGGAACTATCCACATGTGGGACTGGAGGACCGGATACAATTTCCAGCGTATCCACGCAGCCGTGCAGCCCGGATCTCTGGACAGCGAGTCGGGAATCTTCGCTTGCGTGTTCGACCACTCTGAAAGCCGACTGATCACGGCAGAGGCTGACAAGACCATTAAAGTTTACAAGGAGGATGACACCGCTGTACGCTACACTGTTACACTCTACTTGTATTTCTGTGCCAATTCTTATGCAGCAGGAAATAAAATAAATAATAACCATGTTTTCTTTCCTGCAGACAGAAGAAAGCCACCCAGTCAACTGGAAACCAGAAATCCTCAAGAGAAAAAGATTCTAGAGATTTATTTGTTTTTCTTGCCACAGTAACAGCAGTGAATTTTATTTCCACCAACTTTTGTTTACTCGTGCTTTTTCTGTCAGGCAAACTCTCAGCTTTCACAGAAGCATCCCTCTTTATTCTAAAAACCATTTGCAGTCCTCGTTGTATGATGTTAGTCCGATAAAGCAGCCGTTACGGACTGCCAGGAACCTCCCCGAGCGTTTGTTCTTGATGATAACGGCTCTCTGATAGCTCTGATCCGACTCGTCCACCAACAGAAGCCACTCTTCACCTTCAGAAGGACAGACTTCAGAGTGGACCTGCTCAAGTCAAACCCTTCAAAGGAAATTTGTTTGGAAGTTTTAGCCAAGAAAGAAAAAACTTGTGTTGTTTCAGCAGAATTGGTGTTTGTACAGACATGGAAAGTTTATTATGCTCCATTTGAATAAAGACCACATTTTTCACATGCCTGCGTTTGTTCAGTTGAGGTGGGTTTTGTGTACTCACCGAGGTATCCGTGGGTGAAGGCATTCCTGTAGTACTTGCAGCCGTCACCCTTGATCTCCTCTCAGTAGCACTGATCTTCACAGCACTCGCTGAGCTCCACTGTGGTTCTGCTTTCAGCAGCTCTCCGCATTATCTGCTCGCCTGTGAGGTCAAGTTGGAACAGCAGAAATGTTAGATGAATCTAAAGTGGCTGCCACTTTGTAATTAAGTGGCTGACTATCAGTAGACTTGGGAAATGAAAGGCTAGTAATGCTTAATATGTATTCATGCTGTGTACAACAGGATTATTCTATGAATAATTTTCCATATTTTTCTCCCAGTTAACAGTAATTAAATTGCTTTCATTAAAGCGAGTTTTTACCAGACAACCTTTCTATTGAGGGGGATTTATTATTCCTGTTGTGTAACAATGTTCAACTAAGTTTTTTATGAAAATGTGGCTCAGCTACGAAACAGTCTGGCAAATTTCCTCTGGCCTCTGAAAATATCTTCACTTAGAGAACTGCTCATTGGTTATTTTCTCCTTTGTAAACTCCAGAGGTGGTTGTGTGGGGAAATCCCAGTAGAAAGGCCTGTCTGACACTAGCAGGCGTGCTACATTCAGTCTCTTAAATCACTTTTCTTTCTTATTTTGATGTTCGGTTTGAATTTCAGCAGGTTGATGAGTTGCTGGTTTTAATAAATCCTTTAAAGATGTGTTCCTAATAAACTGGGTGTGAGTATATGTTCCAGGCATGATGAAGAAGAATTTGAAATAAGATTTTAGTTATCATCATTTATTAAAGCCAAAGTGGGAAAATTGGGAAGGATCCTCGGTCAAATTATCGATATTGCTCTAAGTAAGAGTAATTTGGTTGAATTGTCGGGCACACGGTGTTGTTTGTTAATGTTTCCATGGCTACCTGAGTCCTGCATGTAGAGCTTGGAGAGAGAACGACAGAAGGCTCGGCCAGGTTTCTTCTTCAGACGGGCTTTTCTTGGCTCTGGCTGCTCCTCCACCTCCTTCAGAGGTTCTTCAACCGTCAGTAGGCGGCTCGCATTATACATGATCTCCTCTTCTAGAGACCTGAGACACATGTCAAAGTGCTCTTCATCCTCCTCTGCATTTCTGGGAGACGACAGCATTGATGGTTGAGAGTTCAGATGTTACAGTTAGGTGCACTTGTGATCTCTAAAATATATTTTATTTAGCTAAGATATTTTTTTCCAAGACAACATGAAATGGTGACATTGTTCCAGAAAATTCAAGGACACGTGTGACTGAAGGACGACACTTTCTAACAAATGCAGTTTCCGTCCTGCTAAAATTTCAGGTTTTAATCTGACACACGTATCTTTCATAGATAATCTAAAGCGGACATTCGTGTCAAAAAAGGAAAAGCCCCAATCAGTTTTTTCTGGCAAAGTGACATTTATATTTCCTTTATGAAAAAAAAGAAAAAGAAAAAAAAGGGTAAAACTGTAAAATTGTATATAAAATTGGTTTTTGTTTTTTTTTTTCCCCAGTGAAGGAAGCAGGCTCCCATGCAGTAATCATCTTTTATACATTTCAGAGCTCTTGCTTGCTTTATGCTCCTGAGAGCTGTGGCAAGAATCTTCCCATTGAACATGAGATATCAATGTAAAGCCCAGGATGTCCTCTATTTGGTACAGCAGGACTTATTGGGATAGCTAAAATAAGTCAAAAGATATAGACCAAGAATAAATGTCCCTTACAGAGGACATAAATGAATAGGCTGGTTCTCAGCTATTCATGGACTTTGCAAATGCACAACCCCCACACAGCCACTAGGGGGACCCCAAGCTGCAAGCTCAGCCTCATATATTTGGGAAAATATTTAAATGACCTGTTTTCATTTGGAGCCAGCTGCTCTCTTCTGTGTGTTTACTGAAACACTTGTGTGGTTAAAACTGAAATGTGGGATATTGCCAAAGCTATGCTGCAACGAAACGACAGGGAAGCTGTGGTGGATCATTTAAAAAAAAAAAATCACCATTAGGATATCTTGTTGTGAATGAAGTCTGCATATGATGTATGACTGACAGCCTCACATCTTCACGAGGAGAATAAGGGTGGCCCAGGCTGCAGTGAAACCTGGATTGCATCAAAATGTGTTTATTTTTTAAGCATAAAATTAAGAAAAGAAGAAGAAATCTACAGAAATATGCCCATGATAAAGGAAATATTTGCTTCTGTGGAGGAGGAGCCAGAATTTGAATATATAAATAAAAACAAAAACAGAAAGCTGAAGTTGAAGAGGATGTATTACTCTTCTTATTGTTGTTGGGCTTTTCTTATTTGAACTTTAAAATAGATGCTATAGTTTCTTTGTATTTTAATATGGTATTTCACTTTATTTTCACCTTTCACCTAATTTTAAATCATGCTTTTTATAATTTTAAATCATGCTTTTTATTTGTTTTTGTTTCTAATGTCTCTGTAAAGCACTTTGAACCACCTTGTTGTTGAATTGTGCTATACAAATAAACTTGCCTTGCCTTGCCTTATGGTGTAATTTTCACACCGGTGTGGATGCCAGTTAGGTTTTGATTTGAAATAGCGGTTTCATTAATTTTATGTTCATCTGGAAAATTTTGGAGGAAAACTGTGCGAAGAAGCTTCATTATTCACTTTTATGTAGATTTTAATTGCTTGCACCAATTTTTAGGTCTTTCATCTGAATTTGAGATAGATAATTATCACCATGGATCATTGGATCATCTTAAAAAATTTAACCTCTGACTTCTTCCACAGGTCAGCTATACTAGGCCACGTGTCAGCAAGAGGCACTGAAGGTAATCTCTCAGCCTAATTAAATCTTAAGCAATCAGGGGCCACAGATGGAGCCGATCAGCGTGGGACGCGCCGCCTGCCAGGAGGAGTGTTCACGGCGCACAGTTGGTGCCAGTCAGAGGTGTCGAGTTATGTGAAGGAGCCAAAGGGGGATTTGCACTGTGCCATGGCTGATTTTTTTGTATCCAGTATCACGCAACAAGCTACTGAAGTACGGTGAAGGAGAATGACCGCTCGTAGTCGCCCTGCGCGCAAAAACGCGTTCGTCCGTTTCGGTTCGGAAAAGTGCGCTCAAACGTGAGGACAAAACTGAGGACTTCTACTCGAGAATATGCTGGCGGGCATCGACCTCAACAAACCGAGAGCTCAAAGCCACGCGTAAAGGAGGAATGGGGTGCAAGGATGCCTCAGCTTCGCTCCTTCAGACGCTCGTCCTGTCCCTGCTGTGCGCACAGTCGCTGGGACAGGTCTTCAACCTCACGCTGTCTGTTAAAGAGGGTCTTCCGGCCAGAACTATCGTTGGAGATCTGGGAGCGGGACTAAGCAGGCCGAGCACTGGGTTTTTCATCTCAGAAAGCAGAGACTCGTATGTTTTCAGAGACTTGGAAATAGACGCGGACACGGGCATCATCTCCACAGCTGTAGTCCTGGACAGAGAGAGCAGGGATAAGTATGAATTTGTGGCAGCCACTCTCACAGGTGAGATGATAAAAGTGACAATAGAGGTGAAAGATGTGAACGACCATTCTCCCGTGTTCCCCTCCGAGCAGGTTGAGCTGGAAATATCAGAACTGAGCCCACCGGGGAGTCGGTTTCAGATTGAAGGTGCTAAAGACCAGGATGAGGGCGAGTTTGGTACTCAGGGATACAGGATCACAGAGAGTGAGATGAGTGACTTATTCCACCTGGATTATCGCAGTGGACCTGAGAACCACCTCAACCTGGATCTAGTTCTTAACAGTAAGCTAGACAGAGAAGTGCAGGACTTGTACACGCTGACAATCGAGGCCTTTGATGGGGGGATCCCAGCCAGGACTGGGACTCTTCGGGTGAACATCCACATCCTGGATGAGAATGACAACCCGCCTGTGTTCAACCAGACTGAATATCACACCTCAGTGCGTGAGGATGCTCCAGTCATGTCTGCTGTGTGTCAGGTGCAGGCCACTGACTATGACCTGGGTGACAATGGCAGACTCACGTATGAGATCAACAGGAGGCAGAGCGACCCAAATGAGGTTTTCTCCATCAATGAAACCACCGGGGTGGTCTATCTCAACAAGCCGCTTGATTTTGAGACTCAGGCTTTTCATGAGTTGATCATCAGCGCGAGAGACAACGGGGTTCAGCCTGAGTACAGCAGCACTTTCGTGGGTGTCAGAGTGCTTAACATCAACGATAACAGCCCCACCATCAGTGTACTGTTTCTCAGTGACACAGGAGATGCTGTGGTGTCGGAATCAGCAGCAGTCGGGGACTACGTAGCCCGGATTTCAGTGTCGGACCCCGACCTCGAGGGGGAGAGAATCACTGTCACGCTCGAGGGAGGTGATGGGAAGTTCACCCTGAAGCAGACAGATGACTTTCTGTATGCACTGTGTGTTAACTCTGAGCTGGACAGGGAGGAGAAGGATTTGTATGAGCTGAAGGTGCAGGCATCAGATTTTGGCAACCCTCCCCTGAGCAGTGAGACGGTCTTCCTCCTGAAGGTGTCGGACATGAATGACTGTTACCCAGTCTTTGAGAAGGATGCTTATCTCATAAGTATTTCAGAAGATGCTCCTCAGGGGAGTTCCCTCATCCAGTTTCAGGCTCGAGACGCAGATGAGGGTGCAAACTCAGAGGTCCGATACTCCATTCTGAAGTCCAACCAGGACAGCCTGATCGACATCGACCAGTCAGGCCTGGTCGCCACAGCTGCAGCTCTGGACAGAGAGACGCAGATGGAGATATGGTTCCTGGTGGTGGCAGTGGATGGAGGAGAACCGGCTCTGTCATCCACAGCGACAGTCACGGTGCTCGTGGAAGACGTCAATGACAACGAGCCAGTGTTCGAGCAGCAGCTGTACAATGTGTCCATACTAGAGCAGAGCGATGTTGGAAGCTGCTTTTTACAAGTATGTTGAAGGATATTCAGCATCATTTTGGTGACTTATCTAAAAGAACAACACATTATTGTTTCTGAATGGTTCTAATTACATTTTCTATCCAAGGAGGATCCACAAGATGATAATAATGATAATAATAATTGGCACTGAATCAGAAAAGCTTATTAACAAGGCAACAAATATATACATATTTTTTACAATTTGGGAAGCTGACACTCATATGAAATCACATGCATATTTATTTATTTATTTACAAGAACACATCCACCCACAGACCAGGGGAGCGTTTCACTTGACTTGGCACTCATCTCAGTAAAATATCAGCTAACATGGATTCACAGAAACAAAAATAAAGATATCTTTGTAGTTTCTGAAAGATTCACAGTAAATATCCAGCATCTTGTGCTCTTTTGCTGTGTCTGTCTTACGTCTTATAAGACAAAAGTAGCCTTCAGTCTGTTTGCACAAAGCCGTCAAGTGTTCCTCCTAAAGATGCTCAACATGCACCCTTTCCAGCTTAGCTCTGTGGCTTTAGTATGACAGATGTGCTGCCTGGTACCACACTCCAGCAGGCTGGCACAAAGTGCATCCCAACACAAAGGAACATTTGTTTAAGGGCACATTTTCTGCAAACAAGAGATTCGATGAATATATAAGGACTGAAAATTTCTAAACATCTGGCTGACTTTTAGTTGCTTAGTTCCCGATTCGAACTTTAGCTACGACGCTTCAGAATACTGAAGATGTCATCCAAAATAAATGCGAGAACTAGCAGGAGCAGAGGTAACCAGAATATCTGGGAAGTCGTCTATAAGGAACCCCCCTCTGTCGCATGATTTTGCAAACGCAGCACATATGCTTTATTCTAAGAAGCAAGCTTCAAAAAACTGACTGGGTTTGCGTGACTGTCCAGACCTTGACCCGTGTCTTTAAACTTCCTTTGATCAGAGTTCACAAACTGGGAGGTGATATCATCTTTATGACTGTAAAATGAGCGCTCTATCCGTGAGACATGTCTGCAGTCACAGCCACAGGCAGACATGAAAGGAGCTGCACAGGATATAAGGCGCGTTTTTACTATAATCTTTATACTGCAGGGATGGTCCTCGCCCTTTGATTGTGGGGATTTTTTTATGCTTTTATTATGTTGACTCTCACTGTCAAAGGAAGACGCGTATTATGATTCATAGTACAAAGCTTAATCTAAAAGCTGGCAGTTACTGTAGTATGGGAGTGCTGTTTTACAAGGAATATTTCTTCTAATATATAAACACTTAAACATACCAAAAACTGCTAATTTTTACATAAAGTATTTGAGTAGGAGCACTTCATAATCTTACTAATATATATATATATATATATATATAATATATAATTATTTTTTTTTTTTTTTTTTATTTATTTATTTATTTTTATTTATTATTATTTTTTTTTTGCAGTTATGTGCACACAAGCTTCATAAGATGAGGGACATGAATTGAAACACAAAGCATGAATGAATTCATGTGAAACTGCATGAACCACAAAGACTGTCTAGTGTGTGCTTTGATTCAAGAACAATATATTCGTTAATGCAGTTATTAATTAATAATAGTTAGTCAGTTATTAATCACGTCCATGTCATTTCATACTGAACTCTTTCGTTCTCAGATCACTTAAAAACTGGGCAGCGATGAACACAAATGTCGTAATCATTCAATCATCACTAACTAAGGAGGTGTTCTTCCTCGCTTCATCATCATTATATAAGTTCAGTTATATTGTTGAGTTATTAATAAAGGCCTTGTTATTATTTTCATTTTCAACGAGCAGTTTCAGGTACAAAATCTAAGCTCACCTAAACCAAATAATCTACCTGTGGACATTTTTCAAAAGTGTTTCTCTTAATTCTTTATATTTTTATTAAACATATTACATGTTTTACCTTTGTTTTATTTTTAGCATTACAGTGTAATTGTTTAGGGTTTCCCCTTTAAACATGTGCTTATTAAAATAAAGGATCAGGGCACCATTTTTACCAGAAAGGTAACAGTTACCTGTTAAAGTTGTGAAGAAAATCATCTTAGATGATCATAATTACACCATATGCAGCACATATAGCACATTATAGGCTGATGATAGGTTTTAAATTAATTATTTAATGTTTTTTTTCCCACATATGACCTTAGATATGAATATATAAGTTTTACACTAAATTGTTCCCAGTTATTCTGCAGCACTGGTTTTAATTGAATTTCTCTTTTGTGTTAAAGAAATGATTTAAGGTGTTTTCATTTTTGCACCTCCTGTTTTCATGCCTGCATTTCTCTTCTCTTTAGGTCGTCGCTACAGATGCAGACAGCCCTGAGTTTGGGACGCTGCTCTACTCTCTGACTGATGGCTTCGACAAACAGGCCACACATCCGCTCTTCCAAATAAACCCCCACACCGGAGAGCTGTGCGTCTCCCAGGATATTGATCGAGATACGGGACAGACGGTCCACGACATCCTGATCAAGGCTGAGGATCCAGTGAGTGACACGCAGATATATAACAGTGGATTTCATTTAAACAATTTATCCCTAATTTCTGGGTCCTAATAAAATCCTCTCCCTCAGGGAGGCTTGAGTGCTCAAACCTATGTGCACATTGAGATCGAGGACTTGAATGACAACGCTCCAGTGTTCAGCCCTGAGGAGTACACCGTGAGCATCAGCAGCCACGCGCAGCCTGGCACAGAGATCGTCAGCGTTATTGCCACTGACAGAGATTCTGGCAGGTTTGGCCAGGTTACCTACGACCTCCTTCCTGGCGACATGTCCACTTTGTTTTCGCTGGATAAACAAACAGGTAGGGCCGTAAAGGTGTGAGAACACTTTCTGTTATAGTCTGAACATAAGTGTGTGGACACAATTTCCAGTGAACCAACTGTTGCTTTTCCAATATTGAAATAAATAAAGCTTTGTGTAGGTTTCAGTCTTGGTAAAGGATAGCATTTTGACTTCTTAAGCTTGATTTGTCACATTGATCCAATCAGTAGTCTTTAAGTAAACCGTGTGACTGGCAGGCTCCATTATTCAGGGATAAACGACTGCTTACTTTGTGTAAGTCCCCATGAAATGATTGTCAATGTCACAGCTCAGCAGGGGTGATGCAGAAAGCCCCAAAAGGCTTAGATCCCCAGGTGGCTAAGGGGTAAGATAAGATTCATGCTCAGCCAAAATTTAACACCATGAAATGGATAAATTATAGGAAAAGAAAACTTTCTGACACTTTACTGCCTGCATTTGTTTTTATAGACATATATTGATTCTCTTGCACTTATAAGATGCATTTTGGTTACAAAAACAAGCCCTGTCCTTCCCATCTGTCAATATAATAAATGTGAAGTGTTGTGAATCTCATTTCACACATTTGAAAAGCAGAAAGGAACTGGGGAAAAATAAAAACATTTTAAATTAATTTCTTTATGTCGTATTTTTCGTCTGTAGGAATGCTTCTCCTGACCTCCACTCTGACCCACCTGGGCACAGCTAATGTAAAGCTCTTGATAACAGCACAGGACGGAGGAGGCTCGATCTCAGCCAGACCTGCAGAGGTCACGATCAATGTTTTACGCAGTGCTCAGGCTCCAGCTGTGTTCCAGAGGTCACGTTACGCTTTCACAGTGCCTGAGGACGCGCCACCGGGGACACCTGTGGGGACGGTGCAGGCCATCAACCCAACAGGTTAGACTTGTATTATCTGCTCATTATTATCCAAACTGATGTTAGAGCAGCTGGGAGAGAGTCATCACAAGGTCCCAGACTCTACCTCTGCTGAACATCACTACAGCAACGGGAGAAGTTTAACAACTAAGATTTTGTTGAGTTACTGTAGAGGACACAACATACACCATATGGGGGAAAAAAGCACTGGTGTCACCTGTAACTTCATCTGCTCTGCCACTTCTTGGCTGTGAGGCTGAGGTTCCTAAATGCTTCCATTTCGCTGTAACCCCACTAATAGGTGATCAGGGAATCACTTGGAGGGACGAAATCCCACAAACTTACTTGTTGCATTGTTGAAGTAACATTCTCAAATTCATTGAGCCATTTTGGCACCATGATGCTAAAATTTTATACTCCAATGGGACTGAAGCAGCTGAGTTCAATAACAGAGAGGTGTGTCCCAATACTTTTGTTCATATAGTGTAATTTGTCAGTCCAATTATACTCTGAGAGCTTCAAACTCTCAGTAAAGGATCTGAATCAGTCCCAAAAAAAATAAAACATCAGTTTTAAAGCTGAAAAACATTTTGAACATTTTATAAGTTTCTCTCTTCTTTATGCTTTTGTCACGAGTGCAAACAAAAGGAACAAAGCGTAAAAGTGTTCTTGCATAATAAAGCTATGTTAAAAGCTTCAAGCTAGTCCTGCTCCAGCGTCCTGCTGTAATCACGTGCTGCTGAGAGTTACGTTTGTGTGAGCAGGACTCTGAAAATCACTGAGTTTCTTTTTGGCCTCCAGTTCAAAGAAATTCAGTTCGGATGGTTCGTAAACTTTATCAGCTTTATGGTAAGATAAGCTAAACAAGCAAAGCTAACATCTGTATCTTGAAATATATATTTTTTTAAACCTATACAGCTGTTTAATATGAGGTGGATTAGTGTAGGTACTGACATTATCGTGCTTCATAGGTCTCTTGAAACATAATAACTGGATTTAGACACATTCAGAATAGGTGGCTGTTACACAAAGGCATTAATATCCCGACAGATGATTGCGACAGAAAAGTTGCTCAAATCTCCTTTCAGACATGAAGAAGCTAAAGTTTAATCTTTAATCCCTTTGAGTCTCACGAACACATGACAGATAATAAAGAGTAGCTGTGCAGTGTACTGCATCTACATCAGAAACAATCCTGTTACAGATCAACCTGCTCGTTTTCTTCCTTGTTGTTCTAAACGTATTTATTGGGCGCTTTCTGTTAAATATAACAGCAGGTTGTGGTGGCAACAGTTTAAGTAATAGAAGAGTGGATATCATTTATAATTTTATTCTCAGTATCTTAAAAAAACCTCTGCGTAGATGGTTTTCAAAGAGTAAAGGGATTCATAATTATCTCCTCATAGTCTTGTTTTTCCACCGAATGCCTTCAACAGCTAAACGCCCCAACACCACTAGACAGTCATTCAAGGCTGTCTAATCACTTAAGAGATTAACACTTCGACTTAAAGCAGAAACAGCAGAATTGGGGCTGTTTGACAGGAGTCGAGCACCATTAAGCTCTCTGCTTGTTTCAGGAGTTTTTAGTTTACAGTCGAAGCACAACAAACACTCCCAGGGGATTAATGGGATCTTCTGGCCTGTGCTTTAATTACTTAAAGTGTATTAGCGTGTGTGTGTGTGCATTCAAAGTTACATCTGATTAAATCCCAAGACATCTAGAACAATGTCTTTAAATGTCTAATTTATGTAAGCCCTTTAAATTTTTATGACTATTTCAAAGGGAAGAAAGTGGTTTTTTTGTTTTTTCTACAGACTCCATGGAATCTGTATCTTATCGAATCTCTTCTGGAGACCCTCAGAGTTTGTTCTCCGTTCATCCAAAGTTGGGTCTGATCACTAACCTCAAGCCCCTGGATCACGAGTCTCAGCCGTACGCTCTTCTGGTTCTTCAGTCCTACACCGACGCCTCTCCCGTTTACAGCACCACCCAAGTCAACATCACTGTAGCTGACGTTAATGACAACGCCCCCATTTTCCCCAAACATAGTGACACCATCACGGTGTCACAAAACACTCGACCGGGAACCGTGTTGTTCATCGCTCACGCGCATGACTATGACAGTGGTGCCAATGGTCGGGTGCAGTATTACCTGAAGAGCAGGGAAAATGGCGTGTTTGTTATTGATCACAATCTCGGGACGGTTACGCTAAATGAGAGTTTAGAGATGGATCATCAGCAGGGATACAAGCTGGAGATTGTGGCCAAAGATGAAGGAGAACCTTCCCTGAGCTCCACCCTGACCCTCTCAGTAAACGTAGACCAAACGACTGCCGAAGACAGCCTGGCATTTGAGACGTTGATCTATCACGTGGAGATTGGGGAGGGCTACAGGAAAGATGCTCGGGTCATCCAAGCGAGGGCTCACCGAACCCGTGGAGCCCACATTTCAAACTCCGGCATCATCTACTCTTTGGAAGGAGAACCTGGCTTCCCTCTGGTTCCGTTTCGGATTCACCCAAAGACGGGATGGTTGTATCTCTCAGCCAACCTGGACTATGAGACAGAGTCCAAGTATCATTTTCGAGTGTTGGCTACGGAGGCTTCACTGTCAAATACCACAGCTATGGCCACAGTGACGGTGCTGGTGCTGGATATCAATGACAACGCCCCGGTGTTCAGCAGGGACGTTTACTACTTCACTGTGTTGGAGGGGTCGTCGCCACAAGGTCTGGTGGGAACCGTCAAGGCCGTGGATAAGGATTCTGGGAAAAACAGCCAGTTGTCCTATCTCCTGCTCTCAGATGGGAAATTCTTCCGAATCAATGCTAAAACAGGTACAAACACATCAAGTAACACCACCTTAAAGTTACCTTGTGCTCCATGGTCACCTATGTGACATTAACCTTTCTCCATTTTCTGCCAGGTGAAATCATCAACTGGGTGGCACTGGACCGGGAACAGTACAGCCAGCACAGTCTGAAGGTGATGGTGACAGATCAGGGTCACCCTCGTCTCAATGCCACCGCCACCGTTCACATCCTGATCGCCGACATCAATGACAACGCGCCGCAGTTCACTTACCTGCCAGCCAGTAAAGAGCTGAATGTGCAGGTGATGCAACTACTGATGCAATCAAAAGCAGTCTTGATAAATTACAGTTACATCTGCGCTCCAAACTGCACATGCTTCTCAATAACATTTAGCTGTTGTTGCCTTTTGATGCATCAGGAAATGCATTTGTCACTTTAGCGGTAAAACTCAGGAAGTTCACATGTAGGCAAAAAACAAATTGTTAGTCTGTAAAGGTACTTTAATGTTGTTTTGATTAATACCTAACCAAAATGACAAGCACAAGGGCAGGAAAAAGTCCTTTACACTAAGAAAAAACAGAAATAAGAAGAAGACACAGAAATAGTGAAGACAGACACAGAGCAGCTCATGAAGCAGGCAGTTAAAGACATGGAAAAGAAAAACTACGTGAAAACTAAGTACAGGTCGACGAGTTAATACAAAAAAACATGACAATATTCCCCATATACCAGCATTATTTAATATTAGAAATTATTACACCGTCACAACATCCCCCACATGTATCAATACCTGCTACACAAATTGATATATTATAGATTTTGGTGTCATCATGTTGTCTCTCAAAGACCTAGTACCAGGCAAAAATGATCTAAGTGGGATAAGTTATCTAAGTAATACTGTAGCATGTGTATATGCTAATAAGGACCATGTATGATCACTACACAACATATTATCAGCACACATTAAAAAGCAAGTTTAAGGAGAGCAAATATCAAAATATCATAAATTACTTCAAGCGCTAATTTACTGTGAACATAAACGTATATATGTGCCATGAAAAAATGAACTCGAGATAAATATGACTTAGTGTCTAAGATTAGATACAGTTGTGCAAATTCTACACTATATCTTTAGTGTATGTGTTGTTATGTTGTCAGATGTAGTTATGCGCTCTACGTGTTCACTTCAGATATGGGCTGGTCTACAGTCAGGATCCTTGGTCACGAACATGTTTGCCAAAGACTTGGACGCAGGAGAGAATGGAACAGTTATTCATTCACTGGTCACAGGTGAGCTGTAAACGTGTGTCCTGACTGATTATACAGACTTGGTCTGAAAAAAAGGGGTTTTTTTAGCTGCATGGGATGTTTTTGGTAAATTTTATGTTTTTTAGGGTGCTGAATCTAAAAATGATCTCCATTTCCCTCAATCACGTAATCACGTGAGTTCACATAAAAAACAGCGATGGAAAAAAATAAATATTATTATTACAATTAACTGTGTTTCTGAGATTCCTTACCTTTCACTATGAACAAAATAAACCTGTTGGGACACGATCATCTGAGCTCCTCATGCCGCCAAGCCCACCGCACCCCGACCCCCTGTCCTCAATTTCTCACATTTTCTATTTATATTTCTCTTGAGTTTCACTCTTAGAAATATTAAATTAATGTAAGAAATTATTATTGGATATGGTTTTTTGACTCAAGTATAGGGTACCAGACTTCAGTTTAAAAAGGGGCATCGTACGCTTAATTAGACTAAAAACAAGAGTTGTGGAAGCAAACCTGACGAGGATGGAATTTAAAAAATATTTTTCATAGTTTCAGTGAGTAAAAATCTATAAGAAACAGTCAGAAAATCCCGTGCCGTTTTTTTGTTGCAGACCTGTGTTATTAACAGTTCGCTCTGTTCGCATCTCTTTTTGTCTGCTTTCGAAGATGATGATCTGGAGCACTTTGAGATTGACAGCAAAACTGGAGATATCACAACAACAGAGCTCTTCAACCAAGATGCAAAAGCGTACTACACTCTGAAAGTGACCGCCAGGGACAGCGGAGTCATCTCTCAGGAGGACACTGCAGTCATTCATGTACAGGTACGGGCTGTGCTCCAGTTAGGCCACACCTTTAAAAACAGTGACATATTATTTAATTGCAGTATGAACGATCAGCTTTAAGTCAAGAGATTTTACGAAAATACTGCATTAACTGTTTTGGAAGTTTACACTCATTTTTATACAGTACAGTATTTTATTGCTTTATTGTTTGTATCTTTTCATGCTAACTTTAAATTAATAACCGTAAAGAGTAAAGCTGGGTTTGGACAAGTGCTTTCCTCCCATAATCCAAACGGAGGGAAAAAAGGTAATCATAGCAAACTAAAACTTTGTCTTTTTTTTGTGCTTTTCAGATTCATGGATTAGAAGATCTGTACGGCCGCTCCGATCGCCAAATTGTGAGACGCATTTTGGTGCGGGAGGACACGGAGCCTGCGACTGTTATTGGCTCTGCACGTGTTTCAGATAAAGGGAGATTTCACTACTCCATCACTGAGGGGGACGGGAGTGTTCACTTTGGGATCGACAGCTCCTTCGGTGACATATACATCAACCAGCCGCTGGATTACGAGGCTGCCATGCAGTACTTCCTCGTGGTTCGTGCTGAGGACGCCAGCCTCATTCCCATCATGAATGTGTCTGTTCTGATTTGTGTGATAGTGGAGGATGTGAACGACCACACGCCCTGGTTCCCTGATAAACTGGTGATGTTTGGTCTGAGGGAGGACGCTGCAGTCGGATCGCTGGCGTACGCTTTTCATGCCAGAGACGCTGACGGGACCTATCCAAACAGTGCCCTCCGCTATGAGCTCGCCTTTGACGCTGAAGTCAGCGGGTCATCATCACCCTTCCCCTTTCGGATTGACCCTTACACGGGGAGCCTGACTGTAGCAGCACCTTTAGATCGCGAGAGCACCCCCAGCTTCGCATTCACTGTAACAGCCACAGATCAGGCGAAGGAGACGAATGAGCGTAAACAGGCTTCGATGACGGCTCAGCTCTTCCTGCTGGACATGAACGATAACCGGCCGGTGTTCGTATCGGCAGACACAGCTCAGGTGATGGAGGACGCAGAGGTGGGGAGTCTGCTGCATCATTTTGTGGCCATAGATGGAGATCAAGGTGAAAATGGGATCGTTTCCTTCTCTATTATTTCTGGAAACAAGAAAGGCTTGTTCACACTGGAGGAGAAGACAGGTATTTGTGATTTTTGCACAGCGGAAAAAATTTATTCTAAATAAAATTTTACCTAAAAAAAAACCTCATCAGACTCACCACATGAATATCAGACATATGAACGTCTGCTGATTCACAGTGAATTCAAACATCAAACATTTCACTTTTAAATGTGAAAATTAATTCTTCTTTTATTTCCTTCCTTCTTTTTCAGGCCTCTTGCTTCTCACTGCCCCGTTGGATTATGAGACAGAACGTTTCCACCGTCTGACCGTCCGTGCGCTGGACCAAGGCCTGCCCTCACTCTCCTCCACCCAGACTCTGACAGTGGAGGTCGGGGATGTGAATGACCAGGCGCCTGTGTTTAGTCAAACCATTTACACCGCCACTGTGGCAGAGAACAGAGACCCTGGAGAACCAGTGATCAGGGTCTCTGCCACTGATGAGGATTCAGGTAATAATTCATTTGACTGGCGATACGTCAGAGGTAATACCAACAAATAATGGCTGAAATGGGACATTTATACTGAGGTAGTGTACATTTAATTTTGAGCTCCAACTATTTAAAAATTCCTAATTTTTGATTATATTTCACAGCATTTAAATTTAGTTTGAAATTGCCCTGATATTAAAGTGGAGACGGCAGTTTCCCTGTGAGCTACCTAGATGGCAGCACTAGCACATGTCCATGAAGCCTAAAACCATAAAACTGCTAACCATGAAAAGATGAAGGCATCAAAATAAAGTAGGAGCCAAATTGCAAAACTACAGCTTTTCCTGGCAAGACAAAGTACAACAGTCCATGTTTATTACTTTTTTCTCGTACCATGTGCCGTAATGCAGCTCAGCTTCCTTGTCGAACTTCAGCTCTGCTGTTTTTTCACTCCATTAACAGTTTAATTGAAACCACACCCTGCTGTTTTCCTCATATGCTTTTCGGTTTGTCTGCTCTGCTCATTGCACATCCCACCGAATCTCATTCACCCGACTCTTTAATCATATTCCCAAATCTACACATCGGCACTGTTTGTTTTAACACATCGCGCACGGGGCCTTCTACATCCCGTTTCGTCTCCTCATTGTTGACAGTAGGATTCTTTTTAAATACTGGAGATGGAGGGCGTGCGGCAGGGGGACCTGTACAGGAGGGGTTTCAATGTGAACTAACATTCTTGGGGGTGAGAATTGTCCAAGAACAGCAAGCAGACAGCTCCTCTGGGAAATCTGAAAGGTCCTCTCTCATCATGATTTCCATAATCCAAGCCATCTGTGCCAATAGGCGCTGTGTGTTCTCATCCATCTCCTCAAATCGCCTCGTCTGGCAGGCCGGCCTGCTCTCCCACCAGTCTTATTTGATTATCATTTGTGCTGCTTTTTTCCCTGCAAACTCTCACCAGAGATGACCATTGTTTTGTGTCTCTGATGATCTATGTATGTAAGTTTCCATGTGCTGGAGTCAATCACAGAAGAGCTGCAATGTGAATGAGTGTGACAGCTAAACTTCTGAGCCTTCTGGATTTCCCTTTGTTAAGCAAGAGTTGAGATTTTGGGAGGGATTTTTTTTTTTAAAGAGTAACTGTGCTGTCTTTGTGTTCAAAAGAAGAGTTTGATTATTTACAAAGAGGTTTGATGGTAAGATTTGGTCATTGTGCCAGGGTTGCACTTTGGCTGAAACTTAAATGTTTTGATGGAACACTTTTGTTTGTTAGTACCCGGAGTGGGAATTGTTTATGGTTGTTTATGCACAAGAGACAAAAGTGACACGGTTTACACCAAAAGAGTTATGAAGAAGACATTGACAGAGTTTTGTAGTTTTGACACCTACCAAGCAAACCAAGTTAACAGCAATGTAAATTAAATCAGTGAACCAAACAAAGCTAAGCAGAAGAAGTCTAGTAATCGAGTTATGCTCTTATACAACATCATACAAGTGTGTGAATAGACCGTAATTTCAAAAACGTACAAATGCCCCGTGATTCAAATGTTTTACTGCTATCAGCATAAAAGATATCTTAGTAATCATAGCCTTAAATGCTATACGCATTCCTCGCCTTGTTCGATCTTCTGAAACTAAAGTGATGTGAAACGTGCATCATTGTGATGGTCATCAAGACCACAGCTTGCACGTAAAGTTGAAGTGAACTCTGCGTTTGCTTCGTATCACAAGAACCATAAAAGCTGCAAGCAGCAGGCCTTCGCTGAGGTTTTAACTGCCTTGTGAAGTTCAGTGGCCACATTGTTCTCTTTTCCTTGAGATAAGCGCTGCCTGAAACAGAAGCAGCAATAAACATGAATGGACCTGAACTAAAGTTGAATGTGTGAGGTAGATAACGATTCAACGACTAGAGGTATCGGTTTTTCTGGAGATCGCGAGCATAAAAATGCACTGTGTTGTTTTTGACATCCATAGTCTCATTAGAGAAGCCACATTTTTTTGTCTCACCAGTGTTAAGGCTATTTATATCTACTTGAAACTGAAAATGTTTTTTTCAATAGAGAAACTAGCGTGTATCGTTTGTCGGGGAGCATATCTGTAATGTAAATCACTGGATTTCTGTAATTATGCAGCATTATCTGATATATGATCAAGTTGATTTTTTTTTCTATTAACCTTGATTTTCCTTTTTTTTTTTTTGCTTGAGCATTTGTTTTGAGGTCTGTGACAGCATTTACATTCGCCTCCTGTGTTCATGTCCTCAGAGGAGAACGCTGTGGTGTGGTACAGTCTGCTGCCGGGTCCCGGCTATGAGCTCTTCAGCATCAACCCGTACACCGGCCTGATTACCACCACCTCCTACCTGGACAGAGAGCAGCAGCAGCATTTTACTCTCAGAGGTAGGACACATAAGCAAACATCTGTTAGTCCTGAGCAATAACATTTTAAATAACAGTTTTCAACAATAAAAGCCAGAAGTAAAGCACGTATCTATTAATAAAGATGAGAAAGTTTAATTATAAGTTCAGGGTTAACAAACTCAAGGGAAAATCGGCAGTTGTGCAAAACAATGCAGTAAAAGTCACATGTTTAATGACTTCCAGAATGATAACACTGAAGACATCAGAATTATGCTCAGAAACTAAGTAACTCATCACCAAAATGGATTTTTTTCTGTAATAAATCAGAGCAATCTAATACAACAACAGTGGTAAAAGGAAATCTTGTGTTTGTCAAGTGTCGTGACAAACGCGCCAGTCAGTCGTGCAGCATTGGGCAAAAGTCTTGGGAAATAGGTGGAGGGGTTTGTTGAAACGTGTAAACAAGACAGGTTTTCTTCTAATTCTTTAAGTAGTCTTCAGGAATAATTCTCCAGGCTTGTTGAAGGACATCTAGAGCTCTTCCTCGGATGTTGGCTGCCTTTTTTTCGGTTCTCTGTCAAGATGATACCACACTGCTTCAGTAATGTTGAGGTCCGGGCTCTGGGGAGGCCAATCCAAGACTGATGGTGTTTAATGGTGTGTTTTTTACTGCATTGGCAGTCTGTTTGGTATCATTGTCAAGCTGAAAACTGAAGCTGCTGCCAATCAGATACTTTTCAGATAATATTGCATAGTTGAACAATACCTGACGGTACATTTCTACGTCCACAACTGGTTGGAATGCAGCCGCAGACCATGACTGAGGCTCCACCATGTTTTACAGATGGCTGTAGACACTCACTGTTGGATCTCTGTTCTGACTTCTTCCCCACATATTAAGATGATTAGAGCCAAAGATTTCAAATTCATTTTCATATCACTCCATAAGACCTGGTTTTCATTCTAGTTTTTCTGTAACTTCAACCTTTTCTCCCGTTTCTATTCTTGTTAAGGACATGACTTTTAGATTCTGTTCATCTCCTGCAGATAGTTTCTTACTCTTGCCATTTCTTCTTTTTTCCTCCAGTTTCCTCAGATTTTATATGAATGTGGTGCACACTAACTTTTCAGCCAATAGGTCTTTAAGAATCATCTTGTTGGTGCAAAAATACATTACTATTCCTGTCAAATGTGTTATGTTTGGTATTTTTTGTGGATATAACCAACGATGAGATGTGTTTTTGTGGCAGGGCGCTAGAAACAAAGGGAAAATGAAACTGAGAATGAGTGAAAAAGCAGCCAATGTTTAGCAAAAAGACTTTGAAAAACCTCCAGAAAGACCTGGAGAACTATTGCTCAAGACACGAAATGTAAAGAAATAAGGGGTGGCTCAAGGCTTTTGCACAGTACTTAAAGTCAGTGCAAATTTCTGTAATTGTTCAATTACAGCCTGTCAGGCAGAAGATACAATCTGCTGATGAGGCAGTCTGTGTGGAGGTGATGTTTGTGTTGAGCTGCCCTGTTATTGCATCACTAATGGCTATGATCAAGATGTCCTGAGGAAAACTGGTTTCAAAGACACCCCAGCTAATGTGACAACAGCTGTGTAAACACAGGAATTTGATTCCTTTCATATCACGACCTTGCTTGCTTAGCCACACACTCACAACGATAATTGGGTGAGAGCCCGCATCTGAAGGGTTATACAAATACTTTCATTCTGTACCTTCTCCTTTGTCACGCTTCACCGGCAAAGCCGTAAAGAATTTAAGGTCGACTTTCTCCGTTAAAGCAACGTTATTCAGCAGATTGATTTATGTTAAGGAAACAGAAGACTTTTAAAGGGCTGAGCTACAGTATAGCTAACCTCTTCTGACTGCACCGCTACACCCTTCTGTCTTTTCGAGAGTTTGCTTTCGCTCTCACATGGGTGCGTGCAGTAATTACGTTCAACAGATTCACCAGCGTTTGGTGAAATGCTTTCACATGTTTTACCATAATATTTGTACAGTTGCCAGTATAATTAAAAATAAAGTCCCAGTAATTAAATATAATAACAGGAAGGCCTGAATATTTAGAAGCCACGCCAAAATCTCACAGGGCTTATTGGGAAACACTGAAATGAATTGGAAAGAAATAAAAAAAATTCTTGTCAGCATGTGTTAAAAGCTGTGTCTCATTATTTTCCGTTGACTGATTTTGGAGTTTTTACTGCTATTAAACATCCAATCTGGCCACACAGTGTCCAGACACACAGCCAATAATTGCCTCATTGCTGTGTTGTAAGAAAGAATTTTGAGTAAAATTGTTACATATAATGTGTACAGTATAGCTTTTTAAAATGATACTCTAGTGTTGAATGAGTTATTAAAATAACAGCGTGTGGCATATCTGAGACATTCAGACATTAAGACATCAGGTTTACAATAGCTACACTTTGCTTTTGGTGCTATTTGGATGCTATTTAAAACATGCCAAAGAAAAATAGAAAAAAGGGTCTAAAGAACATGCTAATAGTATTAGGCACTTGTTGTTTAAAACATCAGACCTCTGGGTGTCAAGCATTTGAATATTTTAGTAAATAATTAAAAAAGAACTGGTGAGGAAGCCTCTGTGTCCTTCCTTTCTGTTCCTATCTCCAGTCCAGGCTCGTGACAGCAGCGCTCGGCCACTTTCGAGCACGACGACGGTGATGTGCTCTGTGCTGGATGACAACGACAACCCCCCAGAGTTCATGCAGTCATCCTTCCGCATCAGCATCCCGGAAAACCTTCCTCCTGGGGTCATCCACACCGCCCAGGCCTCTGACCCAGATCATGGAGAAAATGGCACCATTCACTACTCCATAGTTGGTGAGAAGATCAGACCTTGTTTTTGTATTTCAAGCAACTTGAAAGTTTTACCTGTACTTCATGCCGTTATTCAGTGAATTCAAGGCTACTACTGTAATGATGCCACCTTTGCAACAAGTCCATTATTGGCTCGCATAAAGTGGCAGCTCAGGCAAAGTTGCAGAGCAGGTTAGTTGAGTGCTGATGCAGTCTGAGCAGCTTTTGTAGGTGCGTAACTTGTGGGTAGTCCAGTATTTTAGAGCATATCATTTATTCAACAGTTAAAGACTTGCACAAACTGTCTGTAGTGAAGGGACAAGCACAGCTTATCTACTAACTTCTTGGTTCAATATTGAGCTGTGTGCATATGTTTCTGCTTGGAGAGACCATTAGCAGCATACATTTAGTCTGACCTTCAGATAAATGAAGCAAGCAAAATTCTAAATGGATGAATGTCTGACTGCTTGCTTTCAAGACATCAAAAGTGCATTGTTGAGTCAAGTGGCCAAAGTTAAAGTGGAATTATCTTTTATTTCCTTTCCACTGATGTCATCTCTGATTGTCTGCAGGTGAGGACTACAGAGGTCGGTTCACCATCAACAGTCACACCGGAGCCATTAGCACCACACAGGTCCTTGACCGGGAGGAAATGCAGAATTACACACTCACCATCCAGGCCCGTGACTATGGCCCCACCCCACTCAGCTCCTTCACCCAGCTCCATCTGGTGCTGCTGGACCAGAACGATAACATCCCTTCCTTTACCCGCAAGAGCTATCATGCCTCTATCAGCGAGGGCCTCCCCGCAGGAGCTGAAGTCCTGCGTGTAAGTGCGTCGGATCCTGACGAAGGGTCTAACGGGGAAGTGACCTACTCCCTGACAGATGATAACAGCCAAGGGGCCTTTTTAATCGACGCCTTCACGGGAGCGATCCGCACCACCAGGTCTCTGGACCGAGAGAGCAGAGCTCAGTACAGCCTCAGAGCTGTCGCTACCGATGGGTGCACTCAGGGACCACTGAGCTCTTTGGCGTCGGTCACCATACAGGTGGAGGACGTGAACGACAACATGCCGGTCTGTGAGCAGACTCCCTTCAACGCGTGGGTTTCCATGAGGACGCTGCCGAACCAGATAGTTACCACAGTGACAGCAGCAGATGGGGATCAGGGTGAGAATGGGACGATACATTATGCGTTATCAGACGAGGAGAATCTGTTTGACATCAACACAGAGACTGGAGAGATTTCGCTGAGAAGACGAGTGAGAGCGGGTTTCTCTGGGAGGAAGCTGCAAGTTGTCGTTTCAGACAGAGGACATCCTGCTCTGACCTCTACCTGCCTGGTTTTTATCCATCTGAAGGGAGAACACGAAGGACTGCAGTTCACAAGCAAAGTCTACAACGCCAGTGTCAAGGAGAACAGCAGAGCTGGTACGTTGTATCTGTTTGTCTTGTTTTCACCGATACCACTGAACATCTCAGTCATTGTTTTTGTCTTTTTCTTTCTAAAGGCACTTGGATTGCAAAGGTGGAGGCCAACGACCAAAGCAGCAGCAGACAAAGAATAACATACACCATATTTAGCGGCAACGAGAACCAGGTTTTCTCCATTAACCGTCACACTGGTAATTAAAATGTTAATTTCTAAATACAACTTTTTAACCAATAAAACCGTCTAATCCCGCAATTTAGATTTTCTGTTAGTTTTTTGTATTATCCCTAAATTACCTCTTTTCAAAAAAAATCAGCTTTTCTGGTCCTTCTGCATTTTTTAATACATAAGTATTTCAAAACCATGTATGATTTTATCATATTTTCCCCCAAATTCCTTTTTTTGACTCACGTCTACATAAAGTAACCGTGCAGACACACCAAGTCAAATACACAATCTCATACTGATGTTGGACTGAACGTTCACCACAAAAACTTGAACCTAAAAGTACTTCTGTCGACACCTTTGTTGTCAGATTGAAAGCTGTGTTTTTCTTTCCACTACTTTACCATGACTTTTCTATTATTTGGTGAAAAGAGGCCAAAGAGGAAAAGGCCCTGTTCACAGAAGGGCGTGAAGTAAGATGTCAATTAAGATTATGATTTCTATGATTTGTGTTTTTAAAAATAAACCTTATTGGCTTGATATTAACTGAGCTGTACTTCCTTTTGAGTGCAGCTTTTACCTTCATGTTACCGTCTTATGTAGGTGAAATCCGAGTGCAGAAGGATTACTCTCTGGACTTTGAGGTGAACCCCCACATCCAGCTGGTGGTGTTGGCTGACAGTGGGCTGCAGACAGCTCACTGCAGGGTCTCCATCACTCTGGTGGACATCAATGACAACGCACCACAGTTTGAACACAGCACCTACAGGACAGCTGTCTGGGAGGGCCAAGTGCACAATACCTACATTATGCAGGTAAACTTTCGGTATTAACGCCCTCATTGATGTGAGATGCATGCAGTGATCCCTCTAATACTGACCGCTTCTCATATTTTGAACAGGTGTTTGCCTCCGATGCTGACAGCGGCATGAACGGCCAGATTGAATACTCCATTCTCTCTGGTAACCTTAATGGAGCTTTCATTTTGGACTCTGTACGAGGAATCCTTGCGACCAATGTTTTACTGGACCGCGAGATCACTCCATCATACAAGTATGCTCAAACTGCTCCATAAAAAATATTAAGTAAAACTTTATTGCACACATAAAATTGATTCTACTTCCAAAATGGAATCAGCTACAGTTGCATGTTTCTTCTACTTCACTTCTTCGTAAATGTTAAAGCATTTTAACTGGCGTAGTACAGCAATTATTTTGGTGGCATTTTACAATCTTCCTACTGTCCTGGTGAAAAGAAGATACACCTTCTATCATTTTTAAGCTTTTACATATCAGGATATAATAAAAATGATCTGGTTCTTAGCAGGTCTTAAGCTCGGATAAATACAATATCAGATAAATCACAAAACGGGGCATATTACACCCACTCTGCCTCCTGAGCTGCAAAACTTCTGGAACAATGTCTGCTGGACAGATAAGATCAAATGTCTTGTTAGGTGAAAACCACACACAGCATATTAGCACAAACAATAGTCAAGCACAGCGGTGGAGGTGTGATGATTTGGGACCTGGGCACCTCGTATACCAAGTCATCTAGACTCAAATATGAGGCCATGTGCCTGACAGGTGAAGTCTGAAATTGGGTCATGTAACAGGAAATAGATCCCAAGCACAGCAGCAAATCTACAAAACAAAAGGCAAAAGGGAAAAGAATGAAGGCGTTGCAGT